AATTTCTGTGGAACCCAAAGAGACCCTGAATAGCCAATGCAATCCTGAACAAAAAGAACAAATATGACCAGACATGGTGGCTCTCACCTGTAGTCCCAGCACTTGGGGAGGCTGAGGCTGGTGGATCATGAGTTCAGGAGTTCAAGAACAGCCTGGCCAAGATGGTAAAACCCCATCTCTTAAAAAAAAAAAAAAAAAAATTCTTGGCCAGGCGTGGTGGCTCACACCTGTAATCCTAGCACTTTGGGAGACCGAGGTGAATGGATCACCTGAGGTCAGGAGTTCAAGACCAGCCTGGCCAACATGGTGAAACCCCATCTTTAAAAAAAAATTAAAATAATTAAATAAAAAAAAAAGAACAAACATAGAGACATCACGCTAACTGATTTTAAAATATATTACAAAGCCACAGTAACCCAACAGCATGGTATTGATATGAAAACACATACATAGACCAGTGGAACCCAGAGAAAAATCCATATTTACAACTGACTGATTTTGAACACAGCCATCAAGAATGTACATTGGGGAAATGACATTTCCTCAATAAATGGTGCTGGAAAAACTGGATAACCACATGCAAAAGAATGAACCTGGACTTCTGTCCCTCCTTGTATACAAAGTCAACTCAAGATTCATTAAATACTTCAACATAAGACCCAAAACTATTAAACCACTAGGACAAACATAGGGAAAACTCTTCTGGACATTATTCTAGGCAAATATTTTATGAGTAAGACCTCAAAAGCACAGGCAACAAAAACACAAAATAGGCAAATAAGACCACATGAAACTTGAAAGCTTCTGCACAGCAAAAGAAACAACAGAGTGAAGAGATAGCCTCTTGAATGAGAGAAAATATTTACAAACTACTCATCCAGAGGGGATATTCCTAGAATATACAAGGACCTCAAAACATCTCAACAGCAAAGAGCAAACACGCAAACTATCTCATTTAAAAATGGGCAAAGGACATAAACAGGTATTTCTCAATTCAAGACATACAAATGGCCAACAGATACATGAAGAATGCCAGAATCACTAATTATCAGAGAAATACATATAAAAACCACAAGATATCATCTTACCATAGTTAGAATGGCTTTTATTTAAAATGACAAAAATTAACATGTTGGTGAGGATGTGGAGAAAAGGAAACTCTTGTACACTGTTGATGGGGATGTAAATCAGTACAGTCATATCAAAGTGATACATGCTTACCATGTTTATTGCAATACTATTCACCATAACCAAGATATGATGTCTTCATCATCAAATGAATAGGTAAAGAATATGTAGTATATATACACAATAGGATACTATTTGGCCACACAAAAAAAGTATGAAATCGTATCACTTCCAGCAACATGAATGGAACTGGAGGTAATTAAGCCCGGCACAGAAAGACAAATATCACATACTCTGACTCATATGTGGGTATTAATAACATAGATCACTTGGAGATAGGAAGTGGAATGGTAGATAGCAGAGACTGGGAAGGCCATGTTAAGGAGGATGGGAGAGGATGAAGAGAGGACAGTTAATGAGTATAAACATACAGTTATATTAAAAGAATAAATTTTAATATTTCATAGCAGAGAACAGTAACTACAATTAACAACGTGTTGTTTGTTTTTGAAAAGGAGTCTTGCTCTGTCGACAGGCTGGAGTGCAGTGGCATGATCTCAGCCCACTGCGACCTCTGCCCCTTGGGTTCAAGCAATTTTCCTGCCTCAGCCTCCTAAGTAGATGGGACTACAAGCACGCCCCTATGCCCAGCTGATTTTTGTAATTTTAGTAGAGATGGGGTTTCACCATGTTGGCGAGGATGGTTGATCTCCTGACCTTATGATCCACCCATCTCAGCTTCACAAAGTGCTGAGGTTACAGGCATCCATCCTGTATTTCTTAAAAAAACTAGGAGACCTGAAATACACCCAACACATAGAAATAATAAATATTTGGGAGGTGGACACTAAATCGCTTGACTTGATTATTACACATTCTGTGCATGTAAAAAAATTTCATATGTACCACATAAATGTGTAAAAATATAATGTATAAAAATATTTTTACAATTTTAAAAAATGACAACTTTTTTTGGATAATTATTCTGTTCTTAATAAGAGATAGTAAAAGGTTTTCTTTTTTAATTTTTAAGTAGTATACCTAGAAAACAAAGATTCTGCACCTTACCAGAATAATTTTCTGTTTTATGTTAACCTTAATTATGTCATTGGCTATTTAAGAAAATGACATCGCACTTTAAAAATAGCTCAAATTGGCCAGGCACGATGGGTCACACCTGTAATCCTAGCACTTTGGGAGGCTGAGGCGGGCAGATCGTGAGGTCAAGAGATGAAGACCATCCTGGCCAACATGGTGAAAGCCCGTCTCTATTGAAAATACAAAAAGTAGTTGAGTGTGGTGGCACACACCAGCTACTTGGGAGGCTGAGGCAGGAGAATCGCTTGAACCAGGGAGTCAGAGGTTGCAGGGAGCCTCAATCACACCACTACACTCCAGCCTGGTGACAGAACAAGACTCTGTCTCAAAAAAAAAAAAAAGCTAAATTTGTTTTGTTTTGTTTTTACATTTTTGATAATTTTGCCTTCCCAAAATCAATATCTAAATAAAAATCTCGTTCTCAAACTAACCCTGAGATTTCCCAAAGCACCCCTGGAAAATCTCAAAAGATTTATTGATTCACCTTGTAAAAAGAAAAATGTTAAACAAAAAGTTTTGATTATTTCTTCCCCATGTTGAGTTGTATAGGAACTATTGTGAAATAAATGATGCTTAACCTCTCCTAGGTTATACTGGTATAAGTAAATATTGTTAATATAAATATTTCAGAAATTATATGAAATTCTTAGAAAGTTTTCAATGTCCTTGTTGTCCATGATCAATGTTGCTATAATGTTGTGTCATAAATCTAGCTATTGTTAAAATATTGTATGTCAAAGAAATAACCAAATTTTCTTGTCAAATGAACTCTCATCAGATCTTTAACTTCAATCATTTAAAGCCTTTTATCATTCACAGATAATTATTGTTTTACCCTGATGCTTTCCTAAATGTTCTTGCAATCAGCTACAGGCCAAAATGCTTCATGATGGCTTTGCTTACATAACTCTGAAACTATACCACTAACCCGAGTAAGGATTTCCAGAATTCTAGCAGATAATCTGAGCACCTAATGGATTCATGAAATGACTAACACCAGATCAATTCTAACAAAAATGAATTACATGGATGTAATGATCTGATCAAATATAATTATGGTTTTGTTTGGAACATTAGTGGTTCTATTTTCCAGATATAAGTAAACCCTTTCCATTCTCTTCAGTTATTTATACTCATGACATTGGTAGATTATACTTTGCTAAACAGAAATGAAACATTTAATTTTCCTTCTTGCCTGATCCCTCCAAAATTTGGAATATATATTTTTTGAGACAGGGTCTTGCTCTGTCACACAGGGTGGAGTGCAGTGGCGCAATCTTGGCTCACTGCAACCTCTGCCTCCCTTGTTCAAACAATTTTCCGGCCTCAGCCTCCAGGTAGCTGGGATTACAGAAACATGCCACCAAACCCAGCTAATTTTTGCATTTTTAGTAGAGACAGGTTTCACCATGTTGGCCAGGCTGGTCTCAAACGCCTGACCTCAGGTGATATGCCCACATCAGCCTCCCAAAGTGCTGGGATTACAGGTGTGAGCTAACGTGCCTGGCCTGAATATTCTTATTTTCACAGCAGTATGAACATTTGTTTAAGTTGAAGAAGAATCTGTTCCTGTGATAGGACATAATTGGAAACATTAGTTATATTACCACGGCTTGGACTAGAACGTCATATTTGAAAATGATGACTGGTTTTAATGAACTAAGGTTGAGTTTATGGAGCCAATGCTTAGAAATGTCTCTTGGAAAACTGGCCTGGTACCTGGCTTATAGGGTTAGCAGACTTACAGGTAGGTTAGGAAGGGCATTTTCTGCAGGCCCAGTGATGTGCTCTAGCTCTGTGTTCCCAGCCATATGTGACCGTAAATTGTATTTTCTTTTCTTTTCTTTTTTCTTTTTCTTTTTCTTTTTTTTTTT